GGGGTAAACCCAACTGCTAACTCTTTGTTTTTTTTATATTATGTAACCTGTTTTAAGTGATAAACCTCTGGCAAATGTCATGTCTGAGAAAGAGAAAACATTAAAACCATAAATTTAAATCCCTGCTGACTACAGATGTCACAATAATGACAGCTTATCTGAGTATGTAGGCCTTTCAAATCTGGCACACCTTCAGGATTGCATCATCACTCAGATGCAAAGATATACTGGAATCAGGACTTTGGACTAAACTTTAACCTAACTCTGACTGAAAACACTGAGGGGGGAAAAAATCACCTGTCTATGCTTTTCTGTACTTACACTAAATGTCAGTGTTACTGACAAATAAAAAAAAAGTTAAATTATCATCTATGTCCATGTAATTGTGTTTATGTGTATTTACTGAGTCTGCTAAGCAGGGTGTTTAACTCTGTCAACTAACCAGTTTACTGTGTCGGGTTATTTTTATGAACTTGAACACTATTTGTCAGTTTTGTTGAGCAGGTGTATCAGACACCCACTTGTTAACAAACCTTACATCTGTTTGCTTGATGTCAGGCCCGGAGGCCGGAGCCATTTCCTACATGCAAAGGAAGGGACACGCCTTAAACAGGACACCTGTCGACCACAAAGACTAAACAGATCCACCAAGTCAGAAGTCTTCAGCCTGCCTGTTCCTAAAACTTAAGGTGGCTGAAGGAATTAAGGATGCAGACGTAAAGGTTAAACATAAAGAGACATTTTAAAGTCAATAAAATGCAAACTGAACCTGTCCTTCCTGCTACAACAGCAGAGAGGGATTTAAAAAATTGTCATTAGATTATTAGACAGCATTGTAGAAATGGGTGAGGACACAATATGCTTTTGAGTTAGCTTTAAAAAGGTACAGCTCAGACCTTTTGAGGAGTTAACTATCTTTTTTATATTGTTGTAGATAGCTTCATGAACAACCTCAGTTTGAAAAAAATGAAGTTTAATTCAGACTAATGAACTAACAGCTAGTCATAGTGGGATTAGAACCAAAGTGGGTTTAGTTCTAAGTGACATTTTAAAACAACTCCAATCTTTTAAAATATGATAGAACTTGTTGCTATCAAACTTTTATAGGCTTTTTTTTTCCAGWGCATGGGTATGTACATGTAATTCTGTGGTTCTTTATGAGCACATATAGCAGCAGCCAGTTTCTGGCAAGAACATTTTAAACCTGATGAAATAACTGTGAAAATGAAATATTTTATTATTACACAAGTATGATATTCCTGCTACAGTTAGCTGCTATTTGCAACTGTAAATAATCACTGAATCGTGGATTGTGCAAATTAAAAATAAAACGTGAAAGACCAGCATTGCAAATGTTTGTAAAATCGAGTTTGTATGAACTAAATTTTTAGGCCAACTGATCTGTTTTAACAACTGTGCCGCCATGACACRTCAATGGATGCTATGATTGTTTACTTTCTAATTGGAGTTAAACTAACCTTAACTATTTGCTTCTCATATTTTTGACATAGGTTTTGTTTAGAACTGTCAATAAAAAAAAAATGTAAAAAAAATTAAAAGTTGCCTTTGGTTTTTCATTGCCAGACTTTATTTTTATTATTATATGACTCACATTTCTAGACCTTAAACAGGGAACTAAACMGTGCACCACTACAATATTTTTGAGACTGGAACTGTTTTAAGATGGCAAAAAAAAAAAAAACAACTTTAATCTCACCCAGTTCTGTCAGAAATAAACTTTATTTCTTCAAACTGATGTTGTTCAAAAAAGCAGACATTATGGTTTATAACCTTCTCACAGAAAGAGCTTGCAGAGGGTGTGTGTGTTTTTTTTAAATTGAAACCATGAGTTTGATGTGGGCTTTTTTGTGGCAACAACAATCTTTCCAAATCTGCCACATAATCATCACAAAAATAATACAACAGATCCAGTGCTTTCATTTTTAATCCCACTAAACTCATTACTCCTCCAAGTACAAGCTGATAATAAGAGACTGAATCTATGAACATTTAAAAAAAGATTTCACAACAATGGTGTCTCTGTTTCAGTCGGGAACGAGCCACACCGGGTGAAGATCTGAACCCATTATAGGCTGTTTCATTTCAGTTGTAATTTTCCCACATTAAGAACAAAACAAGTACATCTGAATACAAGAAAGGATGAGACCTAATTGCTCAACAATAGAAGAACAAATACAAAACGCCCAGGTCGGTTCTTTAGATGAACACAGGTGAAGCCTGAGCTGAAGAGTCATTACTGAGGTATGTAATAAAAAGAGAAGAGCATCCCAGCTCAAAGATCAGCATGTCATGTGAAAATCCTTAATTACAGGTGTAACATCAGCAGCTTTCACAGCCTTCATTAGACTCGGAGACAGACACGGCGTTATGGGCTGTGTTTTACTACACAATTTGTAGCTAATTTTTTTGTAAATGTAATAAATGAGTACACAGAAGCTGCAAACAAGCCTTAAGTACAGTCTGAGCAGCTGGACTGACCAAAACACAGCGTCTCCTGAGAACATGGCCGAGTGTGCGCGTGCGTCCACAACTTTATCAATCATGTCTGAACTATTAMAGCCTCGCGCTAATATTCATAACGCATGTTAACTTTGTTTTAATTACTCGTGCTACTTATTACCGTGCGTTTGTTGTGTATTCTTTTTAAAAATGCTCCTACCTGTGGGAACTTCCGTTGAGTGTTCGGCAGAACCTGAAAGACACCTGACACTCCGCCGCCGCTCGACACCGCCTGGAGTGGACAGACTGGAAGGAGGAGGAGGCGCGAGCGCATAGGTGAGCGGACCACGTGGTCTTCTGAACCAATCACCTGAGGCATTGCCCCCGCCCACCCCACCCCACTTACCTGCCTGGTAGACCTGTATCTCTCCATCTTTCTTTCTGTTCCTCTTTGTGAAATTTTATGACCAAAATTCCAGAGAACAGGTATCAGACTCAGGCTTTCTTAGCTACCATTTGTTGAGTTAAGAAGAAGAAGAATAACGAAAACAAGACAAACGAGATATACCTTTTCACGTGTTTGTTTTAACCCTCTTGCTGCACTTGGGTCAGACTCATGAGACCTCAGTGAGCTGAGTCTGTGGGTCTGGGCCAAATCTGGCCCATGTTACCATTTTATCCAGCCCCAAACATAATACTTTAAATATGAAATAGTTTTCTGGGGTCGCTCAAAATGCTACATAAAACATTATTTGGAAAAGATTTTTTGAATTTATCCAAGCTTTATTTGTTAAATAACATTTTTTCAGTAAACATTGACAGACTGGCCCTTGGCTTAGACCAAGACTTGAACTTTGACCTCTTGTGTGACTGAGTTTGTCTTATGAAGGTATAGGCGTCGAAACCCACCTGCAAAGTTTTGATTCGTAACCTGCAAAAAATACCTGTTCCTAAGGAAAAAAATCACCAGCAAAAATTTGATTTGTGCACCCGCAGAAAGATTTGTATTTGAATTTTAAAATTTCACCTGCAAAAAAAAGTTTCACACTAATGTTTTTTAGAATGTAAAGTTATGGAAAAATTGTTACAAATGTGTAGTAAATTATGAGTCTGTAACTTTAATTATACTTGTGTAAATTATATTTTTAAACATTTGTAACCATTTTTTCTGTTTTACTTTTACTTTCCCAATTATTGTAAACAGTTTTATGACTTACTTAATATACTTTCTTATGAGTGAAATACAYTTTTACCAAAGTCATTTTCTGTTTAGGTATTTTACCTTTACTTGGTTATTTCTTTTAGGTACTTTTATATACCTCTGTATTTAAAAGACACACAACAGAAAAGTCGCCACCATTAAAAAAGGTCACACACTAATATTTTGTTGGACCATCTTTAGCTTTGATTACAACATGCGTTCAATTAGACCTGACCAACTGCAGCAACCCCAGATCACAGTGCTGCCCCCACARCACTGTGATGGGTGCATCCTTGGAGATGATGGGTCACTACTATCCTTCCAGATTTTAATGATGTGTTAGTGCTTAACCCAATTTTAGTAGTTTCTGCAATCTCTTTAGATGTTTTCTCGCTTGATGCCAATGATTTGACCCTTCTCAAACAGGCTGACTCCTTTTCCACGACCATGGCATGAGTCTTTCGACATGGTTGTTTAAGAAATGAGAAGCAACTCATCTCACCAGTTGAGGTTAAATAACTTGTTGCTGAAAGATAATCGTCCATGCAGTGATTACCCAATAGGAAGCTCGTATTTATTTGCTTAGTTAAATCCAGGTGGTGACTATTTCTTTTTGGACAGGCATACAGTTGCAGACAAAAACATCATCACCCATCCTTCAGTAGCCGTCTATAAAAATGGTGAATACAAAGGCATCCACATAAACAACAGCACAGGTCTCTGAACCCAAACAACAGAGGCAAGAGTAAAACAAAARTCAAGTTTGTTGGATGTTTGCATACATTTGCCTTTTAAATAAAATAAGCCAATTTTAGCAATCAAGGAAAGCTTCCTCTTCCCTTAACTCCTTAAGTCCTCGAGCAATCGGGTCATTATTTCCTGCCTAAAATCTGTGGCAGGCCATTGTTACATGTAACCAAATCTTTCTCCTATCTCTAGTTAGCAAAAGCCCTTCTTGTAGTTGAAATGTCTTCAATGGTAATTATAATATATTTTGAATCAAGGCTTTATTGGACACACTAAATTTAAGATAGAGGCCTTTTATGACACCAGGTTTCAGCACAAACTCAGTTCACATCACACCTGACCACAACTTCTCTTCCTGTGGTTTTTTGCTCATGTGGGGTGACTTCCTGTCGCTTTTTTGGACCAGCTCGGACTCAGCCAAGCTCCAGACACTCAYCGATGATGGACCAAAGGCTGAGAACTGACAAACTGAGATTAATCTGAAGAAATGAGGATGYTGTTCTGATCTGTTGTGATGAAGATGGAGCTAAGCCAAAAGGCAAGGTTCTTAGTTTACTGGTCCACCTACATTCCAACCCTCACCATGTGGTCATAAAATATGGCTCACGACCAAAACATAATCCTGGATATGAGCTGATGATGTTTTTTTAGTGACTGAGTGAGGAGCTTTATCATCCAGAGAGAACTCAAGAAAAAAAGCCACTCAAAATGAGTTAGTTTAAGCAATTAATTAAGACACATCAAATTGGAGATTTTCCAGACATCTCACTGGGAGGAAATCCTAGGGCAAACCCAGAACTTGTTGGAGGGATTACAGATCCCTTCTGACCTGAGAAGGCCTTGGGATCTCCCAGGAGGAGGTGGAAAGCCTCAATGAGAAGAGGAATGTTTCTATTCCCCACTTCTGATTATAATAAAGAAATAGATTATTTTTAAGTTTATCTTGTTTTTTTTGTTTTACCAAACAATTGCTTGACTAGATTCATAATTTTATTTTATCCTAGGGATTCAACATAACATTTGACGTATCAAGARGGGCTTTCATTTTTCTATATCCTCACTCAACACTTCAGATATCGCAAATGCTGCTCTTTTCACAACTTTCCTAATATGGATTGGGCTTTCCAGATTGAAAGCCAACTAATACAACTCTTAAATCCACTTGTTGCTGGTCATAAGCTTCATTTCACTTGTTATATATTACATAAAAATATTTAAAATATACATGTATAATTTTTTAGGGAAAAAATAAGGCCAATTCGATTTTGACGTCAGCAATACCTAAAATGTTGTGTAAGAGTCGTGTTATAATTGTGAAACGTCATCAACATTATGTAAAACATCTAGGAACTGAGGAAACCAGCAGCTGAAGTTTCTGGAGTTGTCCCATTAAGATTCAACAGTTCTTGGTTTCTCCTCACGGAACAGGATTGGCACTACTGGTTTCACCACTGTTCTGAATAAAATGTTCAATTCACTGCATTCTGTTTTCATCAAATTTTTTGGGATTGGGTTTATAATCAACAGGATTAAAAAAACAACAATAAAAGTATAATTTGCAGATAAATCACACACAAAAATGACAAACATAAAAACAGCAAACCAATTAAAAACAAGCACACTACATAATACTGAGAATTATGCAATTTGGTTGTTTAGATAAGTACACAAAAAATTTAAAACTGACAAATAATAGTAAGAAATATGAATAATCTTACAATATCAAATCATAATTTGTTCAAAGAGCACCATACAAAGACACCCCATCCCCTCCCCCCATCCTCAGTGTTTATTCACTCGTCCCTGTTTTCTGTCATTTTAAGAGCTCACTCCCTCTTTTTCTTCTGCGCCTCTTCAGACGTGCATTAAATCCACCACAGACCGAGAGAGAGAGAGGGGCCAGGCAGACCCCATACCAAACAGATGTTATAAMCTGAGTGGGCGACCTGTCTCCACATCAGTAATAATAATGGACTAATAGTTTTCCTCGCTGTCGCAGGTTTAATTAATGCTCCCTGTTCGCGGGGAGCTGGAGGAAGATGAGCCTTTTCTCTTCGCCTGAGGAGGGTTTGCTGCTTGCTGCTGTGTGGGGGAGTGGGCTACATCCTGTGGCGTTTCCTGTGTTTGTAAACTAGACGGTGCAGAAAACGTCGGCGAAGAAGCCTGGTAGGTTTGGGAGAATCTCCTTTGCTTTTGAACGCTTTGTTGACGTWACATAATGCAGTGAGTGGTTTGCTTTCTTATTTTGTATAATTCGTGGTCGGAGACCGCAATGAAATGATTCAGACATTGTTTCAGCGTCGGTGTTAGCCAGTGCAAGGTGGCTAACAAATGTTAGCTTAACATTTGGGAGGGGGAGGCACTCGCAGCGACGGCCATCACGAATGTCTTTATTACCCAGCTTCGTCTGGAACCAGTTGAGCTTACGTCTTTTAGATTGCTCTTTGGGGAAAGCATGAAATGAACCAGTTTGTGAGTTGTAGCCTACATTTACGCCGCTATGTCTGACCCATGACCAGGTGGGCTTTGAATTTGTTCGAATATTGGCCTTAAAATTGCAGTGGGCGAGGGCGCCAGCGAGCTGCTAGCTTAGCTGGCTCATGTTAGCCAGCTAGCTACACAGCAGCGAGTCTAGGTTCGGTGGCAGGCCGAAGGCCACATCAGACCCTGCTGGTAAATAACTTTTACTTTAAAGTAGCAGTGTGTTCGATTAATGCATTTTATTGTGTCCAACTAAACAACATTTATTTAAAAATAATCATCCTGTTCCGCGCAGAATGCTAGTTAGCATGTTAGCGTTCATCCCAACCTAGTTTATATTTATTTGTGTGACTCCTTAAAAACTCTTGCTTCTTATTACCAATGAACTAGGAGAAAAGAACAGAAACAGAGCCTAAAACATAAATTTTCCTCATCAAATTACTATTATCAAAACAGATTTTTGCAGCAAGTTTTGTTTTTCTAAATGTGGGACCTGTTTGACATGTTTTATTATTTTTATTATTTATTATTTTTATTTATTTTTACATGTTATATTATCATGTTAACATGATTTGATAAATGTTATTTTGACGTATYACGTCAAAATAACATTTATCAAATCATTTAATTGGGTACAAAGGTGTTTACACCAGTATTTTTATTTTATTTAATTATGTTTAATTCTGTTTTTTAAGTGTTTTACTTTCTGCTCAACCTTACTTATTTGTTGTTTATGTTAATTAAAAAATACTGCACTGTAGAACAT